GGGTGGGTGGAAGGTCGCGTAGGCACTCACTGCGGGCCACAATCTCCCCCTGCAGCTGGTACCGGGCCAGGTCGAGCACCCAGAAGACGGCATAGTCCAGGAAGACCAGGAACAGCACCAGGAAGAGGTATCGGATAAGGCTGAAGATCTTCAGGATGTAAAAAAACTTCTCCCATCGGGACAGGAAGATGGAGCCTGAGCGGGGTCGGGAGGGTCAGGAGGAAGCTCCCCCGTTCTCCCATCTGTCCCAGAGCCCAGCTCCTGGGCATGTGTGCTCATTTGGAAGATGAAAAAGTGATGAGGACCATGGCAAGAATGAGAAACACTTCAGGTCCAGGGGCTCCGTGACAAGAGGTGCCGGCCCAGCGTTTCGCCTGAGCCCAGTGGCCCATTCCGTCTCCAGCAACTCTTCCTCCTGAGCATCCCTCACCCCTCACCTGGCTGCTCACCTCACAGGCAGTCCTCCCACCATCTTAATATTCACACTTCCTGCCCTTCCCCAGAAAGCCTTCCCAGCTTTATTTCCCTTGCTCCTGCTGTCCTGACTTCTGGGGTGCTCCCAGAAGCATCATCTTCCCCCTCTCTTTGTCTGAATTCTCCAAGGGTGTCTGTGTCCCCCTTCCAGACTGAGGGATCTTTTTTTTTTTTTGAGTTGGGGTCTCACTCTGTCGCCCAGACTGGAGTGCAGTAGCCGCTCCCGGCCACCGCAGCCTCGACCTGCTGGGCTCCGGCGATCCTTCTGCCTCAGCCTTCCAAGTAGCCAGAATTACAGGCATGCGCTACCACGCCCGGCTGATTTTTTTATTTACTGTAGAGATGAGGTCTCGCTGCCCAGGCGGGTCTCGAACCCGCAGGCTCAGGCAATCCACTCACCTCAAGCCTCCCAAAGGCGCGGGATTACAGGCTGAGCCACCGAGCCCGGCTGACTGAGGGATCTTTAAGGACCAGGATGTACCTCCCCCTCAGCCTGAAATGTCCTTAAGCTCTGGGTAGTCTCTCCTCCTTCTCGTCCTGCCCCAAGTCCAGCCTGAGCCCTGCTTAGGCAGGGGCTTAGAGTCAGGGCAGTGAGGTTAGGGATGCCCCCTACCTCCTTGAGTGCCCCTTCCTTCCCTGTTCTCAGGGACTCACCTGGCCGGATGTAGCACCTGGCCTCGTGAGCACTGAGCGGCAGCACTGTAGGCAGTCCTGCCAGGGAGCGGATGGCCTCCATGCGCAGGAATCGGTCAGTGATATAGATGTTATCGTAATGGTCCCAGTTCAGGTAACCGTACCGGTAAAATAGGGCTCTAGGGGAGTGGACAGCACATGAGGCCCCTCAGCACCCCAGACCAGACCCTACAGGGTACCCTGCTTCTGTCCCACCCCACAACTTCAGCCTCTTGGGATGCTGGGGGGATGGGCTAGTCCCTGCAGCCCGGCCCCGCCGGCAGCCCCTCACTGGAGGTAGAGAAGCATGAGCAACAGAGGTGTGGTGTAGCCCATGAGAGCCAGGGCCTCTCGGACATGGTGCAGCTTCAGGCTGACAGCCTCATGGAGGTCCACAGCTACTTGGGATAGGCTCCGAGAGGCATTGAGGTCCACAGAGAATTGGTGGGTGGCTGTCATGTTGAACTCAAACTCCTGGCGCACCCGGTTAATCAACTTCATCACGGCTGGGGTCAGCAGAAGCAGGGAGATGTGAGTAGGGAGAGTCAAGGGCGGGACAGAGCTGCACAACTGAGAAGGCCTGGCACAGCCCAGGGCTCACACAGCTCACGGACCCACCGGGATGCCCCCGTGCCTGGACCGGCGGTAGACTGAGAAGGGGACAAAGCACCCACATATGTGTGTCATCGCCACTGAGAGCTCAGCACCCAACATTGCACATGGCACGCAAAAATGACCCTAATGAGAGACCTCAGGGACCTGAGTATGGAGCAGGAGGCCCCGGTTCTGATCCCAGTTCCTGCTCTGAAGTCAGGCTTTGGAGAGGCACCTCCCTTTGCTCCCCTCAGTATCCTAATCTGTACAGCATGGATATTGGTCTGGGTAACCTCTTGGGGTCTTTTCCTTCCCTTGCATTCACTCTCTCTCTCTCTCTCTCTCTCTCTTTTGAGTTGGAGTCTTTCTCTGTCACCCAGGCTGGAGTGCAGTGACACACTCACAGGCACCACAACCTCGACCTGCTGGGCTCAGGAAATCCTTCCGCCTCAGCCTCCTGAGTAGCTGGGACTACAGGCACGTGTTACTACAGCCGGCTAATTGTTTGATTTCTTGTAGAAACAAGGTCTCACCAAGTTGCCCAGGTTGGTCTCGAACACCTGAGTTCAGACAATTCTCTCCCCTCCACCTCCCAAAGTACTGGGATTACGGGCATGAGCCACTGTGCCCAGTTCTTGCATTCTCATTTATGAACTGAGAGCACTCTGGGCCGGCAGTGGCCAACCAGGACAAGGGAGGGAGGCCACCGGGAAGTACCACATGTGGCAGGAGGGGTCACTCACGTGTGCCGATGGTCTCGCGCAGGAAGGGCTGGATGTACTTGGGGATGATGCAAAACACCTGGACCACTGGAAGCCGAGACTGCCGAATGTTAGGAGGGGGCAGAAACGTGGCCTGCCTCCCGCCTCTGAGACCCTCCTCTCATGAGGCCTCTTGACATTATTATTATTATTTTGAGTCGGAGTCTCCCTCTATTGCCCAGGCTGGAGGGAGTGGCACGCTCACAACCACTGCAGCCTCAACCTTCTGGACTCAGGCAATCCTTCCACCTCAGCCTTCCAAGTAGCTGAAACCACAGGCCTGTGCCACTACGACCGGCTAATTTTTTTTTATTTTTATTGTAGAGATGAGGCCTCGCCGAGTTACCCAGGCTGGTCTCAAACCCCTCAGGCCATCCTCTCACCTCCACCTCTTAAAGTGCTGGGATTACAGGTGTGAGCCACTGTGTCTGGCTGACCTTATTATTTTCTTATTCTCTGCATTTGCTCAAAACCTTGTAGCCTCTTCCCATTGCCCCTCCCCCAATGTTGGTCTCTTCCTATTATCCACCCCTCATATTAGGCCCAGCATGCTTGATTCCATAGTCATTCCCCTCCCATCATCCCCCGGGGCCTACCCTTCCGGCTGACTCCCACAGTCCCATCCCCCACCCCATCCCACATCCTTCTCACGGCTGGCAAGTCCGCAGAGCACCAATTTGAAGGGCATGAGCGCGTAACACAGGTGGTAGGCTTGTGGTATGACCTTCATACAGCTGTCCTTGGCATCGTCGAAAACCCGTGCGCACTTCGAGTAGGGGTTGCCCAGCTCCGCGTTGCACACGTCACCGATGTGCAGGAGCCAATACCACACGTTCCGCAGGGCCCTGGCTGGGGGCAGCTGTGGGGCTGGTACCCAGGGCCAGAGTCCTGCACCCTCATCTCAGGGATTTGGGGAGACAACAGCACAGTGCCCAGGGCTAGTAAGGCCTGTGGTCAGGGACCTGGCTATGCTGTATCCAGTGGGTACTAGTCAGCACCCAGGAGGGGCCCAACAAGGCCTGGACAGGGATGAGGGTGAGGAGACGAGGTGTATTTTTTTTTAAGGGACAGAGTCTTGCTCTGTTGCCCAGGCTGGAGTATATGGAGTGCAGTGGCACCATCATAGCTCACTGTAGCCTCAAGCTCCTGGGATCAAGGGATCCTCCCACCTTGGCCTCCCAAAGTGCTGAGATTACAGGTGTGAGCCACTGTACCCGGCCAAGACTGGGTGCACTTTGGCCCCCAAGATTAGACATGCTAATGTGCTTACCTACGTGCTTCACACCATCCATGATTGACCGAAAGTACTTGCGGACCCGGTCAGCCACCTCTTTGGTCCTTTGGGCAATGGCTTTAATCTTGTTCAGGGCACCTGAGGGGCAAAGGGCAGGGCACTGTGGAGCCTCCTCGACTGGGAGCCGGTTCTCACCATTGTCCCTGGGGCAGGCGTGCAGAGGGGACTGCAACCCTGGAGGTGGGAAGCCTGGATTCCTGGGTCTAGAGATGGTTAACCAGGCAGTGGAAGAGGCCAGAGGCAAGGAGAAGGGCCTCTAGCTACATCCAGAGTCCATCCGGGCCAGGATGTTTTGAGATTAGGGCGCAGCACCGGGAGAGAAGAATAAAGCCAAAGGACTGTCGAGCATGCAGGTCGAGGGGTCCATAGGAGCCTGTGGAAGACAGTGGTGGGGGTGGGGACTCACTGATGAGAGGCTGCTTGGCCCGTTCCAGCAATTCAGCCGTCTGGTTCAAGGCCAGCTCTGCCCCACAGGCCACCGCCTCGCTGGCCCGGGTGAAGTTGCGCAGGGTATTGGCACAAGGCCCTTGCAGCACCAACCCAAAGGCAGCCACCAACAGCAGAGCCCGGCCCTGTCCTGGGGGCAACAGCTCCCTCAGAACCAAGACTCCAGCCCAAACATGGCAGCAAGTCCCTTACCTAAGCCTTCAGAATATTTTCCTTAACCCGCGCCTCTGTCCCAGGATCCTCCAGCCTTAAGACCTGCCACCTCCCACTGGGCGCCAGACTCACTGGAGAAGGCCTGGGGCAGCAACAGGAAGACAGTGACTCGGACCTGGCGGGAGAATCCCAGGCCCAGGCTGAGGAAGGCGGCCAAAGTGAGGGTGCCCACCAGGCAGCCCCAGGGGCTGTGCCCTTCCACCAGCAGCTCCAGAAGCCCGTAGGCTGTGGCCAACGACAAGCCCAGGGTAAATCCCCCCACACTGCGAACCACGGCTCGCGCCATGCTAGACTCCTCCTCTCCCAAGGGGCGCACAACATCCTTCATGACTTTGGGCATGGCTGCTGAGACCCAGTGCTAGCCCGTCTCCAGGAGATGCTCCCAGGTTCTATGTTCCTGGAATCTCTCACCATGTTCTAAGGTTCTGGAGTGCTTTTACTGTGTGTCTTGGAATCCCTTACCCAGTTCCAAGGACTGGCCACTCATCTCCTTCTTCGCATCTCAGAGCAAAGGGATTAAAAGACACAGAGCTCAAACCTAGGCTGGGAGTGAGGCAGAGGAGACAGGCAGCCCTGCCCATCTCTCACCAGAGGAGACTTCTGGGATGATCGGGGCTTTCCCAAAACAAGACTCATGAACATTAAACCCCATCAGAATGGAGCAAGAGGGCAAAGAAGGAAACCACCCCATACCAGTGAGTGAGCCGCCAGGAACCCCACCCTTCTCTGTGTCCCTGGCCTCCCTCCTGTCAGTCAGTCTCTCCTCCAGAGCTTCTTGTACACTTTTCCCCATCTTGGGGTCTCCCAGCCTCAAGCCTTGGGGTCCAGTGTCCCCTTGGGCCCAGCCCTTTCTTCTGTTGTCCCGTACACCTGCCCCACTTGCTCAATCTCTATCCCCCCTGAAAGCCTCCAGTCTTTTTTTTCTTTTCTTTTTTTTTTTTTGAGTCAGAGTCTTATTCTGTTGCCTTGGCTGGAGTGCAGTGGCACGCTCAGAGCCACCACAGCCTCAACCTACTGGACTCAGGCCATCCTTCCACTTCAGTCTTTTAAGTGGCTGGAACTACAGGCGTGCACCACCACACCCAGCTAATTTCTTTTTTTTTTTTTGAGTCGAGATCTCACTCTGTTGCCCAGGCTGGAGTGAAGTGACACACTCACGGCCACTGCAGCCTAGACCTGCTGGGCTCAGGTGATCCTTCCGCTTCAGCCTTCCAAGTTGCTGGAACTACAGGCACATGCCATCACGCCCAGCTAATTTTTCTTGATTTATTGTAGAAACAAGGTGCACACCATGCTTTTCTTTTTAATTGTAGCGATGCGGTCTCACCAAGTTGCTCAAGTTGGTCTCAAACTGTTGGGCTCAGACAATTCTCTCACTTCTGCCTCCTAAAGTGCTGGGATTACAGGTGTGAGCCACCATGCCCAGCTTCCCTCTGTCTTTTTGCCAAGTTGCCCAGGCCGATCTCGAACCCATGGGCTCAGGCAATCCTCTCACCTCAGCTTCCCTGCAAAGTGCTGGGATTACAAGCGTGAGCCACTGCTCCCAGGTAAACCTCTAATTTGAATAAGTCACATCCCAGCCATAAAAGTGGACTGTTGCCGGGCTCGGTGGCTCAGCCTGTAATCCCGCGCCTTTGGGAGGCTGAGGTGAGTGGATTGCCTGAGCCCGCGGGTTCGAGACCCGCCTGGGCAGCGAGACCTCATCTCTACAATAAATCAAAAAATCAGCCGGGCGTGGCAGCGCATGCCTGTAATTCCGGCTACTAGGAAGGCTGAGGCGGAAGGATCGCTGGAGCCCAGCAGGTCAAGGCTGCGGTGGCCGAGAGCGGCCACTGCACTCCAGTCTGAGTGACAGAGTGAGACTCCACCTCAAAAAAAAAAAAAAGAGTGGGCTGTTGAGCTCAATTGTCCCTCTTCTCAGCGGTGCAGAGGCTTCTGAGCTGGGGGCTGCCAGTCTCCGGTAGCCGGTTCCTGTGGCGCCAGCCGGGAGAGTTTCCTGTCACTACTTTCCTGCTGGGGGCAGGCACTGGAGGGCTCCTGGCCATAGGTGAGCATGGAAGCAGAAGGACAGGGATGGGGCGGGGCTGAACCGGGAATGGGACCCGCCTCTTGACCTCTGACTTGAACCTGTGCTCTTAGGTCTCTTTCAGCTCCTGGTGAACCCCATGAACATCTATGAGGAGCAGAAGATGATGGTTTTGTACAGCTTGGTGGGTTAGTCCTGGGCAAAAGCCAGGGCAGTTGAGAGGCCTATAAGACACAGCCCTGTCCTGCATGCCAGGGAGGGAGTCTGAGCTTGTTTTTTCCGTATCCAAGCATTTCTTGTAGCTTCAGCCTCCGCTTGAGCTGCAGGGGGAGGTCTAAAGGGATGAGGCCCCCAACTTAAGAAGGAAGACACAGTTTTACCCTCAAGGAGTCCCCCAATCTGAGGGACTCCCCGCTGCCCCTGAGATACTGTCCAAACCCCACAGCCCTTCTCAACCGTTGTCTCTCCTGACCTCTCTGGCTTCGTTTTCTGCTCCTCCTGAGAAATTCAGTTCGTTCATTTATTCATTCACGTGGCACTTACTGAGCATCTGCTGAAGACTCAGCCATGAACAAGGCTGACAAGTTCCCAGGCCCCTTGGAGTTTATATTCTAGCGGAGAGTTAGACAACAAGTGAACAATAAGTAAACAAGAGCATTTCTGGTGATAAGTAGTATGAAAAGGGGGTGTGATCAGAAGGCACTGAGGAGTTACCCTGGCTTTAGTAGTCAGTGAAGGTTTCTCAGAGCAAGTGACATTTGAACGGAGACCTTGTGTCAAGAGGTGGGTTATAGTAACAGAAAACCCACTTGAAAGTGATTTAGCCATAGAGAAAGTTTATCATCTCACATAATAGAACATTTCAAGGTAGGGTGGTTTTGGAGTTTGGGTAATTCAACCATTCAGTAACCACACCAAGGCCTTAGGGTCCTTCTGTCTTTTCTCTCTTTCCTTCCTTCCTTCCTTCCTTCCTTCCTTCCTTCCTTTCTTTCTTTCTTTATTTTTTTCTTTCTGTCAGAGTCTCACTCTGTCACTCAGACTGGAATGCAGTGCCACAGTCATGGCCATCGCAGCCTTGACCTCCTGGGCTCAGGCAATCCTTCCACCTCAGCCTTCCAAGTAGCCAGAACTACAGGTGTGCACCACAATGCCCAACTAATTTTTTTTTTTTTTTTTTTTTGTAGAGATGCTGTCTCACCAGGTTGCCCACGCTGGTCTCAAATTATTGGACTCAGGCAATTCTCTCATTTCTGCCTCCCAAAGTGCTGGGATCACAGGTGTGAGCCTCCATGCCCAACTTCCTTCTGTCTTTTCTCTCTGTCATCTGTGGCCTCTCAACCACTCCTCTGCAGGTCTCAAAATGGCTGCAGCAACTCCAGGCATCCCGTCTTGAAACAACAATGTCAAAGGTCAGAAGAAAGCAGAAGGAACATGCTTTCCTCATGTCCCTTTCAGGAACAGGGAACACTTCTTTGTAAGCCCCCAGCAGACTTTCTCTCACATCTCTTTGGTCAGAACTGCAATACGTGCCCCTTCCTGAATCTATCCCAGTCATAGGGAATGGAATTAGCATCATTGCCAGTTTGTTGAATGACTCCTGCTGGATACCAACAGGAAAAAACTTTTTCTCTGACCACTGTATTCAGACATGTTCTCCCACTGATGACTGCTCCCACAGACTCCTTGCTTTCTGGTTATTATTTTCTTCTTTTTGAGTTGGAGTCTTATTCTGTTGCCCAGGCTGAGAGCAGTGACACTATCATGGCTCACCACTGCCTTGATCTCCTGGGCTCAGGCAATCCTTCCGCCTCAGCTTCCCGAGCAGCTGGGACTGCAGACACCTGCTACCATGCCCAGCTAGACTTTTTTTTAGAGACGAGGTCTTGCCATGTTGCCCAGGCTGGTTTCAGACTCCTGGGCTCAGGAAATCCTCTTGCCTCAGCCTCCCAAAGGGCTGGGATTACAGGCATGAGACACCACACCTGGCTTCTGGTTATTTTTCTTTAGAAAACCTAGTCCTGCTTCAGTAATGTTGGCTTTTTAGGGGTTAAAGGTTCAATCCACCTTTATTATATTAGAATGTTAACCTCACATCCTCTCAAGCACCTTCCTTGCTCACCGCCCCCGCCCTGGCCTCAGCTCAGGCCTGATCCCTGGCATGGGGGCCTGTGGTGGAGAAGGGGCCTCGCCTGCTCTTTCTCTCCACTTCCTTCCCTTTCTGGTTCTGATGTCAGAAAGGAGATTAGAAGAATTAGAGGAAAAGGGACAAAAGTCTTAAGTCACTGATGCTGTTACAATCCCACCACCAGTGCCCTCCGCGTGGCAGGCGCTCACACTGCCGTCTCAGCAGGCCCATTTATGGTCTCTGAGGAGGCTCTGAGTGGACCTCGGCAGTGTCCAGCTTCCTGCAGAGGGCAGTTCTATCTGGCCAACCTCCAATGAAGCCCCCCTCAGCTTCTGCAGTCCACCCCCAGCCTCTTAATGTAGATCCCTCCCTCAAGCAGGCTGCCCTCTTGGATGGTGGGTCTCACAGATGGCTTGAGGCCTGTTGCCCTCCAAAATGTCCACTTGTCCCAGAGGAAATGCACATGTCCTCGCCCTGCCACACTGAGAAAGCAGGGCACCTTGGGACTGCCCTCTCTCCTACCTGGATGGGAATCAGGTTTAGTCTCCATGCTGACAGCCTCCCACAGTCCAGGGAGGTCCCACCGGACTCTCCCATGAGCACTCCCTCCTCTCTGCGCCCTGGTGGCAGCCCTGGAGCAGCTCAATGAGCTCCTGCAGTTGAGAGGGGGGTCCAGTCTGGAAGAGACAGGCAGGTTTCCCTTCCTGTCACACCAATCCCTGAAAGGTCTTGCATTCCTGAGTCTCTCACTTGCCATGTGATGCCATCCTCTCCACAAACACTCCGTCTCCAACTGCGTCTCTCCACTTCCAGGAAATCCGCATCGCTGGTCTCTTTATTTTCTCTGTTTTAAATTACTTAGGCCTGGCGCAGTGGCTCACACTTATAATCCCAGCACTTTGGGAGGCTGCGGTGAGAGGATTGCCTGAGTCCATGGGTTCAAGACCAGCCTGGGCAACTTGGCGAGACCTCATCTCTACAATAAATCAAAAAATTAGCCAAGCATGGTGGTGCATGCCTGTGGTTCCAGCTACTTGGGAGGCTGAGGTGGAAGGATCACCTGAGCCCAACAGGTCGAGGCTGCGGTGGCAGTTAGCGTGCCACTGTACTCTAGCCTGGGCAACAGAGTGAGACTCCAACTCAAAAAATAAAAATAAATTATTTTTTAAAATAGAGACAGGGTCTCACTCTGTTGCCCAGGCTGTTAGCTCCTGGGCTCAAGCGATCCTCCTGCCTCAGCCTCCCAACATGCTGTGATGACAGGTGTGAGCCACCAGGCTGGTCTCTTTATATTGCCTGGTTGGGGTAAATGAGTGAGAGACTAGTTTTGTTCTTTTGGTAAGCCCAGAGAAGATACCTGCAGGTCCACGGGGCTCTTATTAGAACTGTTTGCCAACCACTGTCCTCATCTTGAGTCTACAGCCAGAAGGCCAAGACCATGGAGCAAGTCCCTTTCAATGTCCTCTTATACCATGCTTGGTTTAGACAAATCCAGATTTATCCCCCAGGGGCCGGGGCAGGACCAGGCTTATGCCCTTGAACAAAACCCAAGTTGTGTTAGCAAGGAAGAAGGCAGAAAAAATTGTGGGGTGTCACCCGACAGGGTTTGCCACAAACCTGTATGACAAGGTGGGGCCAGCCGTGTGAAGGACGGAGTTAGGAGTGCTCCCAGCGGGGGGAACAGGGCAGAGCCCTGTGAGGAGGCATGAGCTGGGCACGTTCAAGGAAAAGCACGAGGTCTGTGTGGGCGACGTGGTGGACGAAGGGCTGAGGACATGAGATCGCTCCAGACAGTAGGCACAAGGGGCGGCGGGCCACGTCAAGAGTTTGAATTTTGTCTCAAATGTGGTTGAAAGTCACTGAGTGGTTTGGAGCAGGGACAGGACATAATCCGATTTATGCTTTTACAAGATCACTCTGGCTGCCTTGTGAAAATTGAAGTATAAGGTGTCAAGGGAGGAAGCAGGGAGATGAGTTAGAAGCTTACAGTCCCACTGACAGGTGACGAGGACTCCACACAGGCAGGAGGGGTGGGGCACCGGACATGTAAGGAACTGGGATACGTTTGGGCAATCATTGGGCGAACATTCCGTCAACACAGGCATCTTCTCACTTCCCTGAGCAGTGTACGCGGTTCCTTTGGCCTGGAATGCCATCTGCACCTCCTAACAACACTTACTCACCTCCCAGGCCCAGCTGACACATCACCTCCTTTGTCCAGCTGCACCCCTCCCTGCAGAAATACCTACTCCCTCCTTGGCTCCCACGGCCCTCCATAAGCACCTCCTTGTGCACTTAGCACGGCGTGTTGGAGTCATCTGTTTTACTCATCTGTCTCTCTCCCTGGATTATGAGCTTCCAGGAGCTCACTGACTCCTTGCAGAGACCACAGGGAGACAGACACATGTGAAACTGCTAAAGCACACCAGGCAGCACATGGTTAAGGGCTAAAATTAGAGGCAGAGATTGTGAAGCTGTCGGTGTCTGAGTGCTGGGAATGCTGCGGTGGGCCCTGACCTCACTTCTGACCCCTCTGAGCTTTCTATTGCTCTGTCTCTGCTCCCCCAGCACCCAGGGTAAGCGTGACTCCAGTCTGGATATGGAAAACATTGACTTCCTTCCCTAACACAAACCTGCACGTCATAAACACACGCAAATCAATCACTTGTGGCTTTTTAATCTCTAGTCATCTCTCTGTGCCCTTCCAGAGACTGGCACATCATTGAATTCTAAGCAACTGTGGAATGGAATGAATGAATGAATGAATGAATGAATGAGCAGCCTAGAGGTCTGTCAGAGTCAGTGGAAATGGGGACCCAGGAAGGATAGAGGTTGTTTGGTAAACATGGCAGGCAAGGAAGCTTCCTTACTGCCTCATCACTTTCCGGACTCTCCTGACAGGCTTGGGGGCCATGGGCTGGGGCACCTCTCCTCATATCCGCTGTGCCAGCCTCCTGCTAGTACCCAAGATGCTGGGCAAAGAGGGAAGGCTCTTTGTCCTGGGATACGCCTTGGCTGCCATCTATGAGGGTGAGTGTTTGCCCCTGGGTGCCAGTTGACAATGAAGCAGTGACCCAGGATGGGCCATCCAATGGGAGCCAGGCCTAGTGAAGGAGCAAACACGGGGCGTCTAATCCCAGCTGCTCCAACTTGCTGTGTGTCCCTAAGAGGGCTCCTTCCCATCTCTGGGCCTCCTTGGTTTACACAAGTGAAAAAATCAAGGGTTGACAAGATGGCCTTTCACAGGCTCCTCGGCCCCATTGTACAGTTCTAGAAGATGGTCACACAGGCAGTGAGGGAGCTGGGGTGGGTTTGAGAGAGGACTGGTTCTTCAGGGAGGTGACCTGCCAGGGCCTCTTTCTCCAGGACCAGTGGCCAATCTGCGGCACAACCTCAATGACGTGATCGCATCCCTGGGCTGCACTGTGGAACTACAGATCAACAACACCCGCACGGCCTGGCGTGTCTCCACAGCCCCCCTGCGGGCCGTGTTTAAGGACCTGCTGGTCAGGACTCCACGCAGGCGGCGTCTAGGGGTCCCTCTCCCCGGGGCTGACTTGAGTTGGATGCTGTCATGCTGGATTTACATTTATCCAATGGGGATACCGCTGGCATTCTTTGCAGAACTATTTCCAAACATTGTAGAACTACCCTGGTCCTGGGACGCTAAATGCTGGAAGAGTCCTCCCAGGTCGTTGGGACATGCCCTACACGCATGCCCAAATATCTGAGTGGGTAGGACTCTGCACACCTGAACTAGAACGCCTCGGAAAATCCAGGGTCTTGGCCTTGAGTAGTTCGGAAGCTTTGAAGACCAGGGCGGGGAGGGCTGGAGATTGGGGAGGTGGGGAGATGGAGGCTGAGAGGCTTGAAAATCGAAACCATTCAGATGGAATAAGAGGTGAGAGATGAGGGGTGGGGTCTAAGGACGGGGGCACGCGGACTGGTAAGGGTCTGGGATGGAAGGCCTGAGGAGGAGCTGGGAGCCTGGGAGGTGAGCAGAGCCGAGACACGTGGCATTAGATGAGGCGCTGGGACAGCAGTGGCTCCCAGGCATCATGGACAGTGGGGAATTTGAGGTGAGAGGCTGTGTCTCAGGGCCTCGGCTGCCGTGGGCCTGGGGTAAGAACCCAAGCTTGGTTAATGCAGGAAGGACAGGCTGTTGGGCAGCAGAAGCTCCAAATCCCCATCCTTCGCCCTTTCCTCTCTCCCCCTCTGACCCTAGGGCAGTAGAGAATTATTGAAAGCAGAGATCCAGAACATCTCTACCTCCTTTGAAGACCTGGATGCCCAGGTGAAGAGTGAGACCGGCTACACGCCCGAGGACGCCGTGGACTCAGGCGAGGCAGCCCAAGGAGTAGAAGCCCGCCACGCCTCAGCCTCCAGACTCCACCTCTCGACACAGAAGCTGTACGAGATGAAGACCAAGCTGCGTTGCTCCTGTGAGGCGCATCCTGGACAGGGCAGGGCGAGTCGGGGGGCCAGGGCACCAGGCCAGGGTGTGGGGTCCTCAGACACCGCTTTCTCCTCCCTGCAGACGTGGTGAACCAGGCCATACTCAGCTGCCGTCGCTGGTTTGACCGAAAGCAGGAACAGTGCATGCGGCGCATCTGGGTCCCGCTCCTCAACCACCTGCTCTGTCTGCCCATGAAGTTCAAGTTCTTCTGTGGCATTGCCAAGGGTCAGCACAGCAGCAGGAGGGTGGGGAGCACCATGGCTTGGGAGATGATCCCTGGGGACCACTGGCAGATGGGGAGTGGGAAAGTGATCAGGTGGGGGGACTTAGGCCCTGAGGACCCAGCAACCTCAGAGCCCTACTGACTGGCTCTGTGACCCGGGGTGAATTACAGCAAAGCTCTGAGCCTCTTTTCTCCAGCCGAAAGATGGGTACAATAGTAGTACTCACCCTGTGAAGGGTTTTGGAGGATTTATGGGGACAATGTGTGTGAAGCAAGGGGCAGAGCTGGCACACAGAGGACATGGTCTGCCAATGCCAGTTCTTAGATGAATATTTGTTCCCGATAAGGACAGGTGGAAAATGGGGGAAATCAGGCCTGGTTCCTGGGAGGAGGAATCCGAAGATAGCAGAGAAGGGAAGACTCGATGTGTAGAGAGACAAAAAGGCAGCATCAGAGGCAGGCAGGCAGGCCAGCCAGGTCCAGGCCTGGAGGCTGGGCACGTGGAGGCTCCTGACCCACACCTGCTGTCCACCAGTGATGGAGGTTTGGTGTCGCAACCGTATCCCGGTGGAAGGCAACTTTGGGCAGACCTATGACTCCCTTAACCAGTCTGTTCACAATCTGGACGGGGAATTTTCAGCCACTATTGACCTCAAGGTAGGAGGCGAGGGTGGATGGGTGGGTGAGGGGCAGATAGGGAGTGGGAGGAGGGCACTAGGGAGCAGGGCGTGAGAAAGGACAAGGGATAGGGCACAGGAAAGAGGTGACTGAATGTGAGGGGGACAGGGAAGGAAATGGTGTTGGTGTTGGGGGGAGGGGTGGTTGGGGGAGGAGCCTGGGGTAGGGTGGGCCTGGCCTGGGGTGGAGGAGAGTGTCAGCCAGGTCTGAGATGACCCACTGATCAGGTGCAGGGGAAGGAGACTGTCAAGGAGGATGGTGAGAGGGAAGTGACAACCCCTAGGGGTTCTGGGAAAATCCAGGGACATGTGTGGGTCGCCGGGGAGAGTTACCATGAAGAGGCTGAGGCTGGGGCCGGCAAAGCCGCAGCCACTGAGCTGCATGTATGCCCTCCACCAGGAAGAGAAGCAAGCAGGGGTGCTGGGCCTCAACGTGAGCTGGGAGCACGTGAGCACCGAGGTGCGGGACTACGTGCAACGCCAAGAGGCCCAGCTAGAGTGGGCCCTGGGGCTGCTGCATGTGCTGCTCTCCTGCACCTTCCTGCTGGTCCTCCACGCGTGAGCCTTGACCCCGCACCCTCAGGCCCCGCTCCCCGGGACTGGAGCCCCGCCCTGAGGGAGGCCATGAGGTCGGCACCAGGGCCCATGGCCAGCTCTGAACCGGGAGACCATCTGCCTTTAACTCTGCCCTTGAACTGAGTGGGGTGCGTGGTTTACACACAACGAAGGAAAGGTGGACCCTTTGCAGAAGAAACACTCCCGTGTTCTCACTGCCTTTAAAGGCTCCTGTCTTCCTTCAGCCCCCTCCCTCCAGCCTTCATCCCAACGCTGACTCTTTTTACATTTCGCTTTGACTTTTGATTTTCTCTTGCCCTTCATATTCCCCTTGGCTCTGACTTTGTGCCATTTTTATCCCTCCATTTTACTTTCATTTTCTCCCGCCTGCTGTGTTGGCGGCGACTTTCCCTCCATTTAGAACAAAGTCCTCAACCCCACCCAGCCCGGTGTCCAGCTGGGCCGCCCTGGGCCTGGCTCTGCTCTCTCTCCCCTGCTGACCTCTGGACCCTCCGCTTCCTGTCTCCACCCCAAATGCTGGAGGCAGGCAAAGGGCTGGGCAAGGGCAGCCATGGGGCTCCTGCTCGGTCTGCCCCCATGGGGGTGGCCAGAGTGACTGCAAGTCAGTGGTCATGCGTGCGCCAAGGGCCTTGTGGGAGGACCAAGATGAGTCATATTCCTGCCCTCAAGAAGCTCATGGTCTAGGTGGGGTGATAAAAGAGACACCCATAAGACAGAGAGGGTTCAAGGGCCATCCTATGGACTGGCTATCGGGACAGATGTGGAAGCCGAGAAGGTTCCCCCAGAAGGGCCACGGTTGGGCTCAAAAAGGCTGCAAATGAAGCTGGGAACAGTATCTCATGCCTGTAATCCCAGCACTTTGGGAGACCAAGGAAAGAGGATTGCCTGAGCCCAGGAGTTCGAGACCAGCCTGGGCAACTTGGCGAGAAGTCATCTCTACAGTAAATAAAAAAAATTAGCCAGGCATGGTGGCACGCACCTGTAGTTCCAGGTACTTGGAAGGCTGAAGTGGAAGGATCACCTGAGCCCAGCAGGTTGAGGATGTGGTACCCGTGAGCATGCCACTGTACTCCAGCCTAGATGACAGAGTGAGACTCTGACTCAAAAAAAAAAGGGCTGCAGATGGGGAGCTGTGGTAGAGGAAAGACCTTGGGTGAGGACCCTGGTGTCCAGGGGGTGGAGAAGGCAGCGGCTGGGGTGGAGGACTGGGCTGAAGTGGGCATGACAAGAATAGTCCGGAAAGGACCGCAGGAAAGCCCTGATCTGGGGGTGGTTGCAAGATGAACAGGGTCAGGCTGGAGGCAGGAGGCCAGGCTGGGTCAGAGGTCAGGGCAGCTGGCTGGGGTAGGGTGTGGCAGGAAGGTGGCTTGTGAGGGAGGGGTAAAGGAAAAGCTGCAGCAGGTCTCAGAGCCAGCTTGAGAGGGAAGGGAGGAGACACAAGTCAAAAGCCACTTCCAGGCTTTCAGCCTGGGTGAGGTCACTCACTGACGGACAGAGCGGGCAGGAGGGCAGGCCGGGCTCGGGAAGCCCAGGCCCTGATGCCTGGGTCTCTCCACAAGGGGGCGCGCACAGCCTGTCTTTCATTTATAGTTACGGTGTTTCTACAAGGCAAAGCTGCGGCTTTTCACAGGGCCCCCAAGAACCAATAGCACCAGAACGAATGTTTCACACTTTACAGAGTTTATTTGTACCTTTACAGTTTTAAACACATTTCCAGCAACTAACATTTTCCCTTAGGAAACATGCATTATTTGGGACTCTGAGATACATGAATGACACACGCCACTACCGTGCTCAAGGGTAGCCAAGGAGGAGCAGGAGTGTGTCGGAAGGAGGGAGATGGTGGCTTGGGATGAGTTTTGCTGGAGGTAACCTCCAGGACACGTGCTGCAGGCAAAGCCAAGAGGCAGGAACTTAGAGATGAATGAGAGAGTCACAGTGGATCATCTTCCCTGGTCCCTCGCCTCTGCTGGATATTCTTTTTTTTTTTTTTTTTTGAGTTGGAGTCTCACTCTGTCACCCAGGCTGAAGTGCAGTGGCTCGCTCATGGCTACCACAACCTCAACCTGCTGGGCTCAGGCAATCCTTCTGCCTCAGCCTTCCAAGAAGCTGGAACTACTGGCACGTGCCACCACCCCCAGCTAATTTTTTTAAAAATTTATTGTAGAGACAAAGTCTCACCAAGTTGTCCAGGCTGGTCTCGAATTCCTGGACTCAAGCAATCCTCTTGCTTCGGCCTCCCAAAGTACTGGGCTTACAAGCTTGAGCCACTGCACCTGGCCTTCTGCTTGATACTCATCCTGCACGATGCACGCCTGTCCCTACCTCACTGGCACACATGCTCCTCGCTCCTAGACCAGCTGGCTATGCCCTCCTCTGAGCCCCCCTCACCCCCTGCTCACCTGTGTCTTGTCAGTTGTGAAGAGATTCTTCTTCCACTATTGGAAGGCAGGGCAGAGTCTTCTCGTTCTCACGGTTGCCCTGCAGAGTGCCGAGGACATGGATGGTGCTCAATGAATGCTGGGTGGTTGGTTGAATGACTGTGCCTCAAGGAAGCCCACGGTTGAGGGTGGGTGAGGAGAGCCTGGGGAGGTGGAGACATCCCCATCTGTCTGTCCACAGTTCCTTCTCCTACATGGACAGCTATAACCAGGACATCCGCTTTGACAACATTTATATCAGCACTTACTTCTGTCAAATTGATGAACGCAGGAAGAAGCTGGTGAGTGGGTACAGCCCTGCCCAAGGATGCCTTGTTCTGTGCCCTGTGTGGGCTTCATGCCCCAGGAGGGCAGAGGGAAAAGGGCAGAGGGCCTCACTGTGTGGACACTTTCTTCCAGGGTAAACGGACCCTGCTGCCACTCCGCAAAGCCGAGGAGAAAACCGTCATCTTCCCCTGCAAGCCCGCCATCCAGGCCTCAGAAATGAGGAATGTGGTGAGGACGGCGTGGGGAATGCAACCACAGGCCTGAATCTGGGGTGGAGGGCAGATGGCACCAGGGCATGCTCGTGCCCTGGCAGGAGGTGCCCAGCTCTGCCCCTTCTGCTCTGGGTCAGGTGAGGGAGCTCCTAGAGACGTTGCCCATTCTGCTGCTGCTGCTGGTGCTGTGTGGGCTGGACTGGGCGCTCTACTCCGTCTTCGACACCATCCGCCACCACTCCTTCCTGCAGTACTCCTTCCACAGTGAGCCGCGTCCGACTCTGGTTCCAGGCCCAAAAGGCAACCCCAAGAAATCCAGCCTGCAGCCACCCCACCCCTACCTTCCTTCTGTTGCTTCTGCTCCCCTTTCTGTGACTCAGCCCCTCCTTGTCCTTCTCAAAGTCAAATCTCAGCCCTGCCATCTGACAACTATCACAGTGGGCCTCAGTCTCCCCTTTGCATTTACAACAGGAAGGGGTCAGTATTGAGTACAGTGATGGAAACTTGACCCCTCCCCCTACACCCAGTTCCCATCCTGCCCCACCCTCTTCTCTCCAAACCTTTCCTGACCCCCCCCTCACCCTCCTGGCTGCAGGCAGTCATAAACTGGAGGTGAAAGTTGGAGGAGATTCCATGCTGGCCCGGCTTCTTCGGAAAACCATTGGGGCCCTGAACACCTCTTCAGAGACCGTGATGGAATCAAACAACATGCGTGAGTGACGCCAAAAGTCTGGGTCAGAGGAATTGAGGACTGAGGCAAGGGTCAAAGATCCCAAGGTCAGCTAGGTGCAGTGGGAGGCAGAGACAAGAGGATTGCCTGAGCCAGGGGTTCGAGACCAGCCGGGGCAACTTGGCAAGACCGCATCTCTACAATAAATCAAGAAAAATTAGCCAGGTGTGGTAGTGCATGCCTATGGTTCCAGCTATTTGGAAGGCTGAGGTGGAAGGATCGCCTGAGCCCAGCAGGTTGAGGCTATGATGCTTGAGTGCTCCACAGAACTCTAGCCTGGGTGACAGAGTGAGACTTTAACTCAAAAAAAAAAAAAAAAGATTAAGAGTGGAGAGAGGAGGCCTTGGGAGTGGAGAGGGGAGGGCCAGTGTGCTTGAGTCAGGGAAATCAGGCAGGGAACACATCTGGGCAGGCCTGCAGAAATGGAGGAACATGGGTCAGAGGAGGCTGGCCAGAGGGTCGCTGACCCCTAGGGCAGCACTGTCCAATAGGACTTTTTGCCATCAAAAACTTTCAAGTTCATGCTACCCTGAGCCAACAGCCTACTGGGCCTGGTGGCTATGAGTTCTGACAACGCATCTCTGGAGGGTAAGGACAGGCAGGAGGAGAGCAGGGGATCAGAGGGGTGGGGTGTCCAACTCAGGACTGCCCTGTCCTCAGCTGGCTCTGATCAGAGCCTGACGGCCTGCCCCTCCCTCCCCCCACTCAGCCTGCCTGCCCCAGCCTGTGGGCCTGGACGCCAGGGCCTATTGGAGAACAGCCCTCCCGACTGGCCTGCTGGTGTGTCTCTGCCTGCTGCAGGCCTTTGGTTACCGGCTCCGGAGGGTCATTGTGGCCTTCTACTTCCCCAAGGTGTGCCTGCCCCAGACCTCTGCACCCTACGCACGCACACACACACATGCAGCCTGTACCCAGCTCCCCACCAACTCCGTCTTTGGGGGATGCCTTCCTCCTCGGCACTGTCACTATCACTGACGCCCTCTCCTTGTGCCCCAGCGAGAGAAGAAGCGGATCCTGTTCCTCTACAATGAGCTATTGAGGAAGAGAGCGGCCTTCACCAAACTGAGGAGGGCTGTCATCGTGAGGCGAGCACGGCAGCAGAAGGCTCCAGTAAGTCCAGGCCTGTGTGTGTGTGCTCCTGCCAGCTCCTGGCTGGGTCTAAGAAATGTAGGGGGGGGGCTGCCTCCCTTCAGTACTCCCAGCACCTACCAGGTCCCAGGTCTTCCTGAGCTTAGTGAGTTATTTATTTATTTATTTATTTATTTGAGTTGGAGTCTCACTCTGTCACCCAGACTGGAGTGCAGTGGCTGCTCCCGGCTACTGCAGCCTCGACTTGCTGGGCTCTGGTGATCCTTCCGCCTCAGCCTTCCAAGTAGCTGGAACTACAGGCGCGTGCTACCACGCCCGGCTAGTTTTGATTATGTAGAGATGAGGTCTCGCCAAGTTGCCCAGGCGGGTCTCGAAATCATAAATTAGAGATGGGGTCGTGCTATGTTACCCAGGCTGGTCTCAAACTCCTAGGCTAAAGCAATCCTCCCACCTCAGCTTCTCAAAGTGCTGAGATTACAGGCGTGAGCCACAGCACCCAGCCAGTGCTTAGTGGGTTCTGAAGCAACACATGCTAAGGGTTCCAGTCATTCAGCTCCTGGGGGGCAGGATTGTGTCCATTTCTGTACCCCAGGACTCAGCCCAGCCTAAGACACCTGGTGGCCTACTGGGAAGTAGGCAGGAAAGGGGAATCAGACTGACATGGTTTGGTCACAGGTTCTGCCAAGAGGACTGGAGTCTAGGAGCTCATGGCCATTCAGAGGAGGGAGGTGGCAGATGGGGTGAGAGGCAGGAGGGTTTCATGCAGGAGCCCCCGGTGTATAGAAGAACCAGATTCCAGTCTACACTCCCTCATTAAGCTATGTGACCTTGGCCAAGACCCTCACTGAGCCTCCATTTCTCCCTCTGAAGAATGTGGAGGTTGAACAGTTCTGTAAAGCCCACTCACCAGAGATCAGTGAGGAGTGGTGGTCAGGTGTACAACTCCGGTGCCAGAGGGCCTGGGTTTTGAATCTTCTTACTACTGTGACAACTGTGTGGTCTTGAGCACCTTACTTAATTGCTGTGCCTTGGCTTTTCTCTTCTGTAAAATGGACTTAATTGGTTGTTGTAAGGATTAAATCTCTACCCCATCTGGTTGTTGTAAGGATTAAATGAGTTTTACTCTCATGGTGCTGGCATCCAGCAAGTTCTCCGTATGGGTTTGCTGTCATGGTGTGACGCTGGGCAAGTGATCTCCTCTCCAGGCATCAGCTTTCTCACCTGAAAAAAGAGCTAATGATAATAACACTATCCGCCTTATATGATGATTATTTTAATTGTAGTAATTTACTGACAGTATCTTAGTACAGGGCCTGACATTATACACAATAAGCGAGCCCTTCATATTTAACAAGCTGTAACATAGTTCATAAAAGTGAGATTGTTTGCTGAACACTCCAGTGCCTCAATCTCTCTCTGCTCCATGACATACAATGGAGACCAAATGAATTAGTTATGAAAAAACAAACAGCAGCCCGAAAGAACATACTAGGATTCCTTGACAGAGTCCTCAAGTAAACTAGACTTGAATGCATAGATGGAGGTGAGAGTCGCTGTTCTACACTGGGGGAACAGAATATGCAAAGACTAAGGGTTTGAAGGGAGGCCAGGCTTGGTGGCTCAGCCTGCAATCTCAGCATGTTGGGAGGCCGAGGCAAGTGGATTGCCAAAGCCTGCGGGTTCGAAACCAGCCCGGGCAACTTGGTGAGACCTCGTCTCTACAATAAATAAAAAAATTAGTCGGGTGTGGTAGTGCGCACCTGTAGTTCTGGCTACTTGGAAGGCTGAGGCAGAAGGATCGCTGGGGCCCAGAAGGTCTACGCTGGGGTGGCCATGAGCATGCCACCGCACTCCAGCCTGGGCAACAGAGTGAGATTCCAACTCAAAAAAAAAAAAAAAAACAGAGTCTAAAGGGAATGTCAAGTGCCAGGGCTAGAATAAGGAGAAACTGGCACAGAAAAGATAGCATTCAGGGAGGGACAAGTGGAGCACAGGCCAGAAAGGGACCAGATTTTGGAAACTCTGAAGGCCAAGGCCAGGAGTTCTGGCTGTCTGGTAGGCAGTGGGGCTTCTGGAGTTTCTTTCCTTCCTTCCTTCCTTCCTTCCTTCCTTCCTTCCTTCCTTCCTTCCTTCCTTCCTTCCTTCCTTCCTTCCTTCCTTCCTTTTGTTGGAGTCTCACTCTGTCACCTAGGTTGGAGTATAGCAGCACACTCATGAACACTGCAGACTTGACCTGCTAGGCTCAGGTGATACTTCCGCCTCAGCCTTCCAAGTAGCTGGAACTACAAGCATGTGCTACCAGGCCCAGCTAATTGTTTTTATTTATTGTAGAGATGAGGTCTCACCAAGTTGCCCAGGCTGTTCTCAAACCCATGGGCTCAGGCAATCCTCTCACCTCCGCCTCACCAAAGTGCTGGGATTACAGGTGTGAGCCACTTGCCTGGACTGTCTTTCCTTCCATCCATCCTTCCTTCCTTCCTTTTTCCTCTCTCTCTCTCTCTCTCTCTCTCTCTCTTTCTCTTTCTTTCTTTCTTTCTTTTTCTTTATTTCTTGTCATAGTCTAAGTCTGTCACCCAGTCTGGAGTGCCGTAGCACAATCATAGTTCACCACAGCTGTCTCGGGCTCAGGTAATCCTTCCACCTCAGCCTCCTGAATAGCTTGGACTACAGGCACACCACCACACCTGGCTAATTTTTGATATTTTTGTAGAGACGGGGGGATCTCACTATGTTGCCCGGGCTGGTCTTGAACTTTTGGCCTCAAGTGATCCTCCTCCCTAGGCTGCCCATATTTTCTTCATTAAAACAATTTAAATATTTTTTTTATTCAGTTAGCAATAATTTCTGTTTTTTTTGAGATGGGGTCTCTGTCGTCCAGACTGGAGTGCAGTGGCACGCTCATGGCTACCCTAGTGTCTACCCACTGGGCTCTGTGATCCTTCTGCCTCAGCCTTCCAAGTAGCTGGAACTACAGGTGCATGCTACCACACCTAGCTAATTTTCTATTTATTTATTTTCTTATCAAGTTGCCTGGGCTGGTCTCTAACCCGTGGGCTCAGGCAATCCACTCACCTCCGTCTCCCAAAATGCTGAGATTATAGGCTGAGCCACCGAGCCCGGCCGAGCAATAATTTCATTTCAGATCAACCTCATTGGCTATGATACTGTCACTACGCAGAGCTTAAAAAAAATTTTAGGGCTTGGTGGTTCTCGCCTGCAGTTCCAGCACTTTGGAAGGTTGAGGCAGGAGGATTACTTGAGCCCAGGAGTTTGAGACCAGCCTGGGCAACATAGAGAAACCTCATCTCTACAAAAAAAATTTTTTTAATTAGCCAGGTGTGATGGTGCATGCCTATAGTCCCAGCTACTCAAAAAACTGAGGCAGAAGAATTGCCAGCGCCCAGGAGGCTGTGGTGAGCCATGATCCTGCCACTGTACTCCAGACTGGGTGACAGAGTGAAACCTCTACTCAAAAAATAAAATAAAATAAAATACCTTTTAATATCACCAAACCAAAGCCAGGAATTTTGACTACCAGTCCAATTCTCTTACTGAGGGTCAAAGTGAACAGAACATCACAGATCAATCCCTCCCCACATCCTACTGGGGGGGGGGGCAGACTCTGTGGGAAAAGGTGGAGTTCTCCCCCTGGGAATTCAGCAGGGAAGAGGAAGTCAGGCAGGATGGGGAGTGGGAGGCAGGTGGGAGGGGCAGAAGCTGAGGGTGGTTTCCGCACAGAAAGCACCAGAAAGTGCTTTATATTGCTGCTTTTTCCAGCAGAAATCCACTAATGGCTCGAGTCAAGCACTGAACTGGGAGGCGCTGGGAACCCTGAAATACATCCTTGCCCCAAAGGAGTCTAGTCAACTGGTGAATGTATAGTTAGAATATGGGATAGGAGTTATACTGGAGCTGTCACCGTATCAGACTATGGTTTCGCAGAGGAGGGAATGTTTCTTTGGGGTGGGAAGAGCTTCAGGAGGAGGGGATATTTGAAAGGGGTTTTGGAGGGTAAGTAGGCATTCACATTCAGGGACAGACCAAAGAGCACAGGTGGGAGAGTGAGTCTATGCGGTGAACTCTGGTGTAGCTAAGGTACAGAGTAGCCAGGTGCAGTGGCACACACCCGAAGTCCCAGGTACTCCTGAAGCTGAGGCAGAAGAATCTTGAGCCTAGGGGTTTGAGTCCAGCCTGGGCAACACAGTGAGACCCCATCTCTTTTTTGATTTGGAGTCTCACTCCATCGCCCAGGATGGAATGCAGTGGCATGCTCATGGCCATCCCATGGCCATCCCAGTGTCGACCTGCTGGGCTCAGGTGATCCTTCTGCCTCAGCCTTCCAAGTAGCCGGAACTATAGGCGTGCGCTACCACGCCCAGCTAATTTTTTGTTTTACGTTATTGTAGAGATGATGTCTTGCCAAGTTGCCCAGGCTATTCTCAAACCTGTGGCTCAGGCAGTCCCCTCACCTTGGCCTCCCAAAGTGCTGGGATTACAGGCTTGAGTCACTACACCTGGCCAAGACCCTATTTCTTTAAAAAATACACAATATGTCTGGGGTAGTGGCAGAAGATGAGACAGAGGTAATGTGGGAACCAGGTTGCCAAGGACCTTGAATACCATGCTTAGGAGTTTGAACAGTACTCTGTAGCCCCTAGATGCTTAAGTAGGAAACACCATCAGATGTGTATTTTAGAAAAATCACTGGGGAGTAGAATGTGGGTTGGCAAGGGAGCCCAGAGATGGGGGCCTGAGTTGCAGGAGTTCGAATGGGAGTGATAAGGGCCTGAGTGGAGGCATGGCAGAGGAGGAGGAGTAGAGGACAGAGATGAATGAGAGCTAAGCCATGGGTCGAAAGCAGGGAGGAGTCTGGGAGGGTTTAGTGTGCAGGAGTGCTGCTTGTGGATAGGAAATGGGTCGAGGAGCCAACTGAGGAAAGATAAATGCCTTCAGTTTGGGGCATTGTATCAATCAGGAGTGATTTTGGCTGCAAATAACAGAATATCCAGCTCCTAGTAGTTTAAATGAAGGGCTTATTTTTGCCTCAGAACAAGTAGTCTGGAAAGTTGACAGGAGCTCAACAGTGTCACCAAAGACCCAGTGCTCTCTGCCCTGTGTCCTCAAGACCCTGGTTCCAAGATGGCAGCCTCAGCCACAGAGCTACATTCAAGCTACAGGAGACCCCAAAAGGAGGGTGGAAACAAACCTCCTCTCCTTCCAAGGGTCTTTTTCTTTCTCTCTCTCCATCTCTCTTTTTTTTTTTTTTTTTGAGTTGGATTCTCCATTACCCAGGCTGGAGTGCAGTGGCACACTCACAGCCACTGCAGCCTCGAGCTACTGGGCTCAGGCAATCCTTCTGCCTTGGCCTTCCAAGTAGCTGGAACTACAGGCATGCACCTGGCTAATTTTCTATTTATTGTAGAGACGAGATCTCACCAAGTTGCCCAGGCTGGGCTCGAACCCGTGGGCTCTGGCAATCCACTTGCCTCGGCCTTCCAAAGTGCTGGGATTACAGGCTGTACCACCGAGCCCAGCTTGCTCTCTCTTTCTCTTTGAGGACTAGTCAAGTGCAGTAGTGAGAAGTGGGGAAAATATTTTCTAGCAGCTTCCCACACAGCTTACTCTGAAGGAACAGAGCCAGTTGAGGTGTCCACGTGCCCACCACCACAACCATGTCTGCAAAGGAGAAGGGAGTGCTCTGACTGGGCCTGGGGCGGGGCTGCCTCCCCCTAACACAGGTCTGCTGCCCCTCCCCCACAGGACACTGGAGTTCTGTTAGCCTGAAAGCAGGGGGTGCATGGCTTTAGGGTAAACAGTGAGCGTGTCTGTACAGATGTATTGCATTGGAGAGGCCAGTGAAGCGTGTAGCTGGATGGGTCAAGGGGCAGCTAGAGATGCGGGTCTAGAGCTCTGGAAAGGGAGAAGCTCTGCCGTGGGCCCTTTGGGACCTCATGGGTGCCCTGAGGCTCATGGGAAAGGTGTCCCAGACTGGAATGCTCTCAGCAGGGGAGAAGAACAAGAGGACACAGGCTAGGAATCCCTTCCTTGTGAATTTGGCTGGGAAGAAATCCCTCCTTCCCAGCTCCCAGCTTCAGCCTCCAGGGTGGAAAGGCTGGGTGAGGGATGGACAGGAGGACTTTCTCTCTCAGTGCAGCTGATACACCTCTCCTTCAAGCCTGGCTGTAATCTTTCACGATAATACAGTGGAAGAGCTGGAGTTGAATACTTTTATTTCAGAAGTGTTGCTTTTTATAACTTTTTAGAAACGTTCTTAATTTTTTTTAGATGAGGTGGGATCTCACTATGCTGCCTGGGCAGGCCTCGAACCTAGGGACCCTGTCCTCGAACAATCCTTCTTCCTTGGCCTCCCAAAGTGCTAGGATTACAGGCATGTGCCACTATTCCAAGTCTTATTTTTATGTAACTTTTTTATTTCCTAATTCCAGAAGGAACACATGTTCAGTGCAGAAAACTTAGAGAAAAAAAATGAAGAAAAAAAAAAAAAATCACCCCTAGTAATGAAGTTCAGGAGTAAGCATACTCTTGATTCCTTTCCCATGGCGCTGTCATTTTTCATGGTAAATATCTTTGAGAGGTTATCACTTACTTATTTTTAATTATTTTATTTTATTTTATTATTATTATTTTTTAATTGGAATCTCACTCTGTCGCCCAGACTGGAGTACAGTGACACGCTCCTGGCCATCGCAGCCTCGGCCTCCTGGGCTCCGGCGATCCTCCAGCCTCAGCCTTCCAAGTAGCTGGAACTACAGGCGTGCGCCACCACGCCCGGCTAATTTTTTGATTTATTGTAGAGATGAGGTCTTGCCAAGTTGCCTAGGTGGGTCTCAAACCCGCGGGCTCAGGCAATCCACTTGCCTCGGCTTCCCAAAGCACGGGATTACAGGCTAAGCCACCGAGCCCGGTTTAATTATTTTATTTTAGAGATGTGGGGTACAATTCAGGATTAGGTACATAAGTGGTTCAAAGTACAGGTGAAGTTTGGGCCTCCTATCGGTCATCACTTCGCCTGGTTTAGGATCAGGTGCCCTTATTGATGTTATGTGCCGCCTTGGTCCCCTACCAGTGTCCCTCTACTGCCAATCCCTTTCTTGTAGTATTATGATAAATGTTCAGGATCCACTTATGAGTGAGAACATGTGGTAGTTTGTTCCTAGTCACTTAAATCACTAAGTGTGATGGACTCTAAATCCATCCAAGTTGCCGCGAAGTCCATAATTTTGTTCTTCATGGCTGCATAATATTCCATCGTGTATTTGTACCACATTTAAAAATCCAGTCCACTTTAGATGGGGAGAGATTACAGTTTAATGCCCATGTTACAGCCAGCTTGGAATCCCTTATATTTGTATAATCCTCCCACCCACAACCCTCGACCCCCACCCACATCTATTTCCCCCCCTGTCCTCTGTCCCTGCAGTCAGTGGATGCCCAGATAATGGCTCATTTGTTTGTTTGTGTAATAAGCACACTGCTAGGCTAAGTGCTGCAAGTGTTGTCAGATAAGGCCATCTGTGAATAGGGAGACAGTGTGAAGGGAATTGTGTGTGGATCCAGCTGTGGAAACTTGGAAAAGTTACTGAACCTCTCTGAGCCTCCATTTTTGGCATCTGCCGAATGAGGTCAAGACTACCTTCTTTTTGGAATTATTACGGGGATCAAATGAAATACTAGAGGTGAGGGACCTGGGGCCGAGCCTGGGGAGTAGATTGTCCTTAAGCTCTGTGTGTTTCTCTTCACTGGGTCATGAACGTGCTTGTACTGGGGGTAAGGAGTCTTCAAGATACAGGGAAGGCGGGAAGGAGTCTCTGGAACACAGACGTCTGCTGTACCAGGTGGTGTGTCCTAAATGCCCTAGGGACACGGTGACCAAGAGCGTTAAGGTTCGAGGACAAAGTAGGATGAGGGCATGGCTTTTGAGGGCTCCCCTGGTGGGGATGCTGGGCAAGTGCATTTCGTGCCCACAGGACCCAGGCAGGCCACACTGCCCCACACCTGCAGAGGCGAGGGGAGGTGAGGAACGAATCTGCCGCTCAGAGTGCGCTCTCCCTCCTCATGTTCCTTTCTCCTCCCTGGCTCCATGCACAGCCTCTCTCAGGTTTCTTTGCCCTCTCCTGCTCTTCTTTCCCATGGCTTTGGCATCACCAAGTCCACCAGCTCTGTGTCAGGCACTGCTGGGTCTTCACCAGTAGAAACTGATTGAATAATGATGGGGGAAGGGTCGAAAAAGTATCTGAAGGAAACACGGTCTGGAGAGGGAACATGAGGAAGCCGGGAACCACCCAGAGAGGTGGGGTGGAGGGAACAAATAGCTAGAATGCCAGGAGGAATGTGGCGACTGCCTTGGGGGAGGGAGGAAGAGGGAGGGGAGTCACACTGCAATGTGGGATTTAGGAGGAGCTCCTCTCCTGACAGGAATCTGGAGTCTGGGGAGGTGTCCAGAGTAGCTGGGACTATAGGTGCAGACACCAAGCCCAGCTTATTTGTTTATTTACTTATTTAAGAGATAAGGTCTCTCACTGTTGCCCAGGCTGGTCTCAAACTCCCAGGCTCAGGCAGTCCTCCCCAAATGCTGGTATTACAGCTTGAGCAAAGAGTGACTTGATAAAGTGACTTGATAAAGTTGCCTGAGAAGAATTCCCAGCACTTTTGTGAAGGAAGACAGCTTTCTTGTTTATTTATTTATTTTATTTATTGTAGAGATAAGGACTCTCCATCTTGCCCAGGCCTGTCTCGAACTCCCGGGCTCAGGCAGCCTTCCCAAAATGCTGGAATTAAAGCTTGAGCAAAAAGTGACCTGATAAGGGGGCCTGAGAAGAATTCTCAGCACTGGTGTGGAGGGAGACAGTATGTGAGGGAGGGGGAGAGCACAGTGAACGAGGCTTGTGATGGTCCAGCCAGGTTTGTTGTTTACTATCTGTGTGCCTTTGGGAAAATCCTCTTACCTTTGAGATTCACCTTACTCATCTGTAAAGTGGGGTTAACATGATAGTAGTCTATCTGTCCTACTCTCACTTCTCAGCCTCACTGCGAGAGAACCGAGAACACCGTACGATAATTTACAGCAAAGTGCAAATGATAGTTGATGCTAACATCCGTGGGGAGAGCGCGTGGAGGGAGCATCCTCCCACGCTCCATCACGGAGAGGGCGGGGAGGGGGGGCGGAGGCTGTCCAGGGCCCACTTTCATAGCACCCTCGCCCTCCAGGGGCCTTCCTTGCCCAACACGCCTCCTGCAACGGCCAGGCCTTTCGACTTCAGACGAGAGACGCTGTCCGGTTTCCCCGGCAACCTTCCTTTCCCCCCCCCGCCCCACAGCGCCACCACCTGGTGGACATGCTGCACCGCCGCTGCCCGCTCCTGCGCCGCTGGCTGCGCCGGCGCTGCGTGGTGTGCCTGGCGCCCGAGACGCCCGAGTCCTACGTGTGCCCGACGTTGGACTGCCAGGCCGTTTACTGCCGGTCGTGCTGGGACGACATGCGGCGGCGGTGCCCGGTCTGCACGCCCCGAGAGGAGCTCTCCTCCTCCGCCTTCAGTGACAGCAACGACGACACCACCTACGCGGAGTGAAAAGGCGACTGTTCGCTCTCTCGCCCCGTCCTTCCCTTTCAATAAACGACTTGTTCGCTCCTGCTGCCCGCGCTTCGCGTGGGTCGGCGACCGGGCGAGCTGGGCGCTGCCTACCCGGCAGTCGGGAGAGCTGGTTCACCCGATCTCCCAGGGCCGGGCCGCGGACCGGAGGCAGGAAGACAGCGAAGCTAGGGAGGGACCCGGGGCCAGATGAAGGCGCGGCGCCCAAGCCGGTCGGGCAGGGCCTCGGCTCCCTCCCTGCACAGCTGCCGGAACGCTGCAGCTCCGAGCAGCGCCGGCGGGGCGGGCGTCCAGGGGCGGGTCCCGGCTTCTGCTGGA